AACAGCACAGACACCCCATCTAATAAGCACTATGCCAATCCGAAAAGAGACAATGAAATAGCAATGCATGTGCACCAAGAGGCCTACAAGGGGGAGACCAAAGTGTATTCTCCAGCTTGAAAACGGTAAGAGACAGGAAATGAAATACCATGAATCACAATTAGAAAAATCAGAAATTGAGGGATAAGACTCAAAAATTAGAAACAAAGGAAATCTTTCCCCAAATCACTAAACTAACAAAGCATGGAAAGAGCATGGAAAAAAATAATCTGAGGGAGGCCATGGCATGACAGGTGGAGACACAGCTCCTAAACTCTCTAGGGAGAGTAGCACCCAGCACAGAGCAGACCAGGAGGACCGTGACCCAGTGGCTTGCCCCTCGGCGGGGTAAGGAGCCCTCACGGAAGAGCTAGTCCCACTGGAAAGCTCTGCTTCTGAGTGCGCAGCACCCAGACACAGCTCAGGAAATGACCTGACTTAGCTCTGACAAGGCCTGAGATTTGCTTGGGCACCAGAGAGAAGAGCCAGCAAACTCCAAGGGAAAGAAAATCTGATCATCACCAGATGGGTCAACAGCAGCTGATGCCAGAGGATGAACATTAAGATGCTCAAAGAAAACTACAGGTCAATGTTCACTTGCAACAAAACTCCTGCTGCAAGCTGGCCTCAGAGCACGACTTTCCAAAAACAGTGAGCAGAGGGCACTGGCCACTGGTGCAGATGCAGTGCTCAGACAGCAAAGCCAAACGCGCAGCAACAGTCACAACCCCTGAGGTGAGAAAACAGCATGCAGAACCCAAGCGACAAAGACACGGACCAGAGCTGTAAGCACTGGGCCAGAAGGAGAGCTGGCTGCATACTCTGACAAGGGCGATACCACCATGCGAGTTTTACACACTGGGGGAGAAATACTAGAATCTTCTTCTCTGTTTTTGGGACAAGCTCTCACTCTGCAGTTCAGGCTGGCCTTGAATTCACTATGAAGTCACTTGCAATGACCTTCCTGCCTCAGCCTCCCAAGTTTTGCACCTAAACTGGAGAAGACAGCCTTAGCATTGTTATTCTGACTCTGTGGTACACTAACATGGGGCAAAGCAAACAAGTACAGATATGACCAACTACTTCTATCGTCATCTACATCCTTGAGAACTGGGGCCAAAACAGGACATGCAGTGGTAAAGTAGAGAAGCCTGAGTGGAAACAGTCATGGATGGCTGGCCCAGACTGAAGTGCAGCGTCAGCACGCCCCTGCCTGCTGAAGTCCCGGGGACAGCAGCCTACCTAGGAGGACATGCCTCCTGGAGACCAGACCCTGCTCACTTCTCCGGGAGAAAGTCAGGGCTTTCTGGACACAGACAGCCCTGGCCTGCAGCAGAAAGTATCCCGGCCTGAGCTGAGTGTCCTCTAGACGGTGGGGAAGCATCAGCAGCCCTGTCCAAGGGGGTTCCTGCTGGCCACAGCAGCAGGCTGGGCAACAAAGGCTCACAGAACTCTGAAAGTGTTCCATCCCAAGCTCATACTGTAAGAAAAGTAACAACAAACTGACCACACTGGTGGTTCTGGGTTTTTCATCAATGTGTGTCTGTAGCACATAATGTTCACATGCCATGGTCCTCACCGGCCCCTCCTAGGTGACCATGGCCATCTGATTCTCACCCTTAGCTCAACAGCAGTCACTAAAACCCTGCACATGCTCAGTAGTCAGAGGCAAGATGTGTGTGAGGTTCCGTGGCCTAAACAAGGGGAGCAGCACCTGGACACAGGGCTGGGCCTCACCAGGGACAGAGTTCACTGGGACTCAGCTCCTGACATTTTATCCCGTCAAGTTGTGAGAACCAAGTTGGTGGCATCAAAACATTGCCAATAACACCACAAATAAGGACTTCAAGACAGCACATGACATAGCCATCTGGACAAAAGCCACGTCATGTCCTCAAAGCCTATTAAAGCCTGAGCTCTGGCTGGGAGGCCAGGCCCCTGGCAGTACCTGCCCTGCAGCTTCTGCACAGCTCGGCAGCCTCACCCAGCCCCACACAGAAGTCTCCCTTGGTGCCTGAGTGGGAAGAAGCAGAGAAGAGATAGCTATTTCCACATCAGTTTGCTGTCTTTAAATAGATGAAGTGATTATGACTCTCTTCTGTTCAATATACACAAATACACACACATATATGAATCTGGTAAGCAGTAATATGTTTTTAAACACAGTATACATACAGGTTATGGGTTAACTCCAGCTATACTGATCACTAAGCTTAGGAATATAAAAGTAGACACAGGAAGTGACCACTGCAGCTCACCATCTAGTCCCCTTTACTTTCTTCTCTCTGATTACACAGAAGACTCCTGATGGACCCAAGTGTGTGGTCAGTGTGAGGGCCCTGTGTGCTGTTTCTCCACAGATCATACTAGAGCATGGAAAGTCCACACCCAAACTCTAGGCTAAGCCATCTTAGCCTTGTTATGGCCAGGGATCTGGCCACCTAAAGAGCCTAGATAAGGAGGCCTACTCTGGACACCCTTCTGACTGATGGAGCTTTCTCTATTCTTCTACTTCCATAAACACTCCTCACAAATGCCTCCTATGCCCATGATTTCACACTTTGAACTCGGGAAACACCAGCTGCATGTAGACGCTAATAGTGACACCCACAGGGACCAGGTGGGTACACTTCCTGGAGCAATGGGATCAGCCCAAAGGCAGGCCCTGGAGAACCTGTAGGTTGGGAGGGAGACTGTGTGTGGCCAGGGGATGCCTCTCAGGAATTACAGATGCTCAGTAAATGTTATTTTTCATCTTTCTTCTCTTTTTCTTTCTTTTTCATTTTTATCAGTACCAAGGATCGACTGCCTGCTTGCAAGGCAGGCGCTTATGCCGCTGAGCTAAATCCCCAGCCCCTCTTTCTTTTCAAGAAATAAGTAAAAGATAAAAGTGGCCACCTATAAGAACACAAACCACATTGACTGGCCCAGAACAGAGGTGACATCCAGCTGCAAGGGATGCTGGTACAAAACTGGCCCTGCACTCCAATGTTACCCCTTATTGCCAAGGACACTATGACAAATGCTTCAAGTCTGAGTCTAGCTCTCCACTCTGCAAGAACCCAACACACTCTGTGAAACTCCACTCTCAGAGTACCCTATGGTCAGTACCTCTGACTCCATACTGGCATAAAAACCAATGGCCTCTTCAGTCCTTAGAAGGGCACAACTGCCCATTGCCATACAAGGACTGGGTGGATGAGGATTCTGGGGCTGATCAGGGCCTTATGTCATGTGGCGGGCTCCTTTCTCTCCTCATCTAAACCAGTTCAGCAATGGTTGGTCTCTGAAAAGCAGTGGAAAGCAAGAGATACCAAAAAGTCAGCCTTTTGTCCCCTATCTGTGATGACAGTGGACTTCTTTCTGCTTTCATATCTATGCACCCAGCCACAAAGAACAGAGCCTGAGGTGGCACTATTGGGTCACCCATCTTCACAAACAACTTTGTCTCAATAATCTCTGCCCAAAGGTTTCACTGATTTTGGCTGTGTGACCGTGCAGCACAGGAAGGCAAGATCCACAAGTCTCAACTGAATCTCTGGTTTTTTTCTGGTGCTGGGGATTGAATCCAGGCCATGCACATGCTGAGCACAAGCTCTACCCTACCACTGAGCTGCACCCCAGACTCTGGCATCTCTGGAACAGGGATAAATACATCTGTACTCTCCTTCAGAAACTGACAGGACCTTCTAAGTTTCAGGGGAGCTGTCAGGTAAGCTTCTGAGCACAATGTCTGAGGAGGGCTTTCTTTGGCTGCTTAGCAATGGTGCTGAGCTGTGAGGAGGCATGTGGGTGAAAGGTGGTTTCACGGATGAACCAGCCTGGAAGGGAAGGAAGCTTGAACAAGAAACCTGTCATTGTCCAGTGCATCAAATTAGACAAACGAGAAGATGAGGACACAATCCCTGCCAGTCAGGAAAAAGAAGGCTGACTGCCTGCTCTGATCCCCTCAGACTGTACCCACATCTGATGGGACAACAGTCGCAGATGAGGTGGGTGGTACAGCGGACAGGTGGGAAAGATAGGCCCGCAGGGTATGTGCACGCAGACATGCACAAGACCAGGACCAAAAACCAAGCACTTGCAGGAGGTTTTCTAAATTTCCTGTTAATTTTTGTCATTTTATGATACTGCTTTTTTCTTCAAAACACAGATTTCTAATATGCCACTTTAATCCCTATTTATATTCCTCCTCAAAATTTTAACTAATAAAGGATTTTAACTAATGAAGGACTGTTACATCCACTAGACAACCCTGTATAGGGCAATATAGACAGATTTTTAGAAGAGAAAGCAAGAATAAACCATATAGTGTTAGATGAAAAACAAAACCCTTCAAATAACCCAAAATCTCAAACTGATAATTTAAGCTGAAAATTGCTCAGATGAAACTAGAAAATACTTTTAGAACTGAGTAAAGGGAAGGAGATGAAAATAACCTATGTATGTTACATGTCTATATCAATCACAAAATGAACCTCATTACCCAAATTACTGATATGTACAAATGTACATGCACACATCCATGCTTCCCACATGTACAATTATAGTCCCAGGGCTCCGAAGGAGGACTGAGGTGCAATTCAGAGCACAGGAGAACTGGTTTTTACAGAGATCAACTTTTACCCTCCAGGCTTCTCACAGACCTGGCTGTGAAGACTGCAGACTCGGCTGGCAAAACAAGGTCCATGCATTGAGACTGTCAACTCCAACTGGTGACTTTCATCAGTGAGATATCAATGAAAGGGCATGGAACATTTACGAACTAGTTCACACTTAAATTTAAATACTAAAATCCAGAAGTCAAGAGACACAATTGGTTGTTATTTTTCAGGTATAAAAAGCAGAGAAAGACCCCAAACCAGGGGCAGCAACACGGCCACTATGCTGAAATCATGCTGCCCACACCCACTCACTACTTGTCAGACCTCATGCCTGAGCACATGGGGATTCATACTCACCTAAACCCTTTTGCCCAGGGTTCTTAGCAAAGCTAAAGGTAAACTGATAAAAGTCTTTAAACTTCGTAGAGTCCTTAAGCTCCTGTTCCAATCTGGGCAGAAGAGCCTTCAGCTTTTCTGTGCTATCACACCTGTGAGGAGAGACAGGTCTGTTACTCGTAGCAGACAGGCCCCCAACACTCGTCTCCCGCTCGACTGGAGCTGTACTTCCTGCCTCTCTGACCTCTGAGGCCACAAGGTTAACTTCTAAGGGATGGAGTGAGTGACCGTGGTGCACACATCTCTTGCACAAAGGAACACGAAATGGTGCTGGTTGCAACACTGTAGGTACGCCAAACCCAGCAAGCCACAACAAGGAGTGGGTGACCACACTGTATGTGAAGTGTATGAGTACAATTGTTAAAAGAAGAACCCAAAACCACTAGTCTTCTTGTTGAGTTGGAATAGTGCACAGTTTAGCTCCCAGTGGGGGCCACAGCCCTGAAGGTGACAGTCAAAGGAGGGAAGTCCTGGTCACTTCAGTGACCACAGGACTGGGCCCCTCAGCTAGCCTGGGCACCTGCAGACTCCGTGCTGCCACACAAGGGAAATAGACATTATTTCTACGTATTTAGGGACCTGTTTGTTGTAGAGAGCTGTATTTAAGATATAAGATAGCATCTATGAAACTTCTACTATAAAACCTGTTCTAAAATTGGGTTTTCCTCCAAAAAATCAAAAATTAAAAACATTAGACTGGGCTGGGGGTATGAGTGACCTGCAGAGCACTTGCCTAGCTAGCATGCACGAGGCTCCAGGTTCAATTCTCAGCACTGCAAAAGGAAAATTAAATAGAACTAGAATTATTTGGCCTTTAAGGTGGCAATATGGAACAGTGGAACTGAAGTTTCCCTTTTTCATTTCACCTGACTTGATGCTGTATTTCACGTACCTGTCCAAGTAGAGCAGAATGCAGGAAGAGAACAAGAGACACCCTGGAGCAGCCCAGAAATTCCAGGAGCAGGTGTGGAAGACCGCCCAGCCTCCCAAAGCACCAGCAGCACCTACCCGGGGTGCACATGGGCCGTAGAGGGGTGGCATTGCCACAGTGCCTCTCTGGATGTGCACACTGGCCATTTCCTCACTCTTTGATCTACTCCAGCACCTAGGAACTCCTCCCAGGGCCCGTGTGCTACTCTGAGCCTGGCTTGCCTGGCCCATGTTTATCGGTGAGCAAGGTTTGCTGTTGCATGTGCAGCTGCAGTGTCTTCGTCTTCTTTGCCATGTAGAATCCCAGTGCTTGGAGTACAGCCTGGCCATTCTAGTCCTCTCACCTCAAGCAGCACTGTCAGGCTCCTGCATGTGCATCTCAGTTCATGCATGAACATGCTCTGCCAGGTACCTGACCCACAGAGGAACAGCTGGGTCCCAGGATCTCCAGGATGTCAGAACCCTGCATCAGTGCTTCCGGGCCCACCCCCATTGCCTACTGCCCACTGCCATCTTTGGCTAACTCAGAAGGCAGGTTTTGCTGGGGATTCCATCTGTCTGTACCTCCCCAGTGAATGTGGTAGCATCTTTGTTTTCGTTGACCATTTGCATACCTTTTTGTCAGAGCTTATTCAAATCTCTTGTTCATTTTTCAATCAGACATTCTTCTTACTATTTTGCGAGAATTCCTTAGAATACATGCTTTCATTAGTTGGGTACTGTGTTTTTAAAGTATTCTCACCCAGAATGTGTACTGCCTTTTTACTTCCCTGATGTTTTGTGTGACCAGAAGTTATTTTTAGAGGCTTTTTGCTTCTACCTTTGGTAGCAAGATCTGCAATCACCTGAAACTGACTTTCATCCAATGGCTAGAGAGGGATCAAGATTCTTTTCTCTATAACTAACCAATTTTGTCAGGACCACTGATTGAAAAGATGTCATGGGTCTCCTATCTCTCACTGAGTTACTACGGCCTGACAGCTTGACAGCTTATAAAAGTATCGCACATCTTTACTCTGATTTCTGTTAAGCATTCTGAAGTTTTGATGATACTGAGAATAACACCTTAAAATTCATTTTAGGCAGGGTGTGGTGGTGCACTTCTGTAATCCCTGCACTTGGCGAGAGGCTGAGGCAGAAGGATTGCCCTGAGTTTGAGGCCAGCGTGGGTTATACAGTGAATTCAAAGCCAGCCTAAACTGCGTAGCGAGACTGTCTCAAAAAAAAAAAAAAAAAATCACTTTGCTTTGCTACGTTGTTATATTTATCACACACACATTTAGTCAGATTTATCTTAGGTTTTGTTCCTCCACCTCAAAGGGAAAGTGGCTTAACATTCCGGTAAGTAAAATGTTTCCTGAAGGATGTGTCAAACTAAACACTGTAATCAATTCATTTTTCTTTAACCATGAATGGATGTTGACTTTCATCACTTTATTTTAGGCATTAGGTATTCTTTTGTTTGGTGTGCTGTTAATGAGGTGAATGACATTAACTTTGTGATATCAAAAGAATTCTTACATTCCTGGACTCTAACAAGCTACCATGATTCTAGCTTTTTGTTCACTGCTTTGTCCTTGCAACTGGATTTAATTGACTAATAATACCTGTCATATCTATAAGCAGGCACTTATGCCACTGAGCTAAATCCCCGGCTCTCTACTTTACAAAATGTTCTCTCTCTCTCTTTTTTTTGAGAAAGGGTCTTACTAAGCAGTTCAGGTGGGCCTTGAACTACATAGCCAAGGCAGACCTCAAACTTGTGGCAATCTCCTGCCTCAGCCTCCTTAGTGCTGGGAGTAGAGGTATGCCACCATGCCCAGAATGTTCTGAGTCTTTGAAAGAGGTCATAATTTTCTACTTAGAGAGAATGTCTTTCCTAGATTTTCTTATTTAAGAAAGTGCTGGCCTCAAAATAACCTGGATGTTTTCTCTTCTCTGGAGGAGCTGTTTAAAATTGGTAACCCTTTTCATTAAATAGCAGATGTGCCAATGAAGCCATTCCAGCCACAAGTTCTCCTTTTGAGACTTTACAGGATCAAGTGCTAGGATGCAGGGAACTATTAGGGTTTCATATTTCTTCACATGTCAGCTTTAGAAAATTTCTTTACAGGCTGTCAAGTTTACTGGCACAAGTGTCCATAATAAGTTTATTTCTTAATGTCTGTAGGATCCATAGTGATATGCCATCTTTTCATTCTGTATTGGTTATCTGTTATTTAGTGCTTTTATGTCTTTTCAAAAAACAAAACATCTGGCTTATTTGACTCTTTTTGTCAACAACTTCTTTTCTAGTTAATGAACATTCCCATCAAATTACTTTTTTTTTTTTAATTGGTACTGGGGATCGAACTCATGACCACACGTTTGCAAGGCAGGTGCTTATGCTGCTGAGCTAAATGCCCAGCCCTAAATTACTACTTATTAAAAAAAAGAAAGATCGTATCTTCCATATCCCTCCCTGAATCTCCTGCAAGTTCTCGCTGTTTCTTCTCAGTCCTTGGCCTGGAGAGTCAGGCAAACACTCTACCACTGAGTAACACCTCCGCTCTCTTTTTCTACTTCTTAAGTGGACACTTTGCTTAATGATTTTCTGTATCGTTTTCTTTCTAAATACATATTTAAGAAGCTGAATCCTATAAATTTTTACATCAGCATTTTCTTTATCACTCAATTCCAAGTACATATTTTCTAATTTCTATAGTAAATTCTTTTCCAAGCCACAGATTATTCAGTGATGTACAATACCCATAAAAAGTTTCTTCTTTTTTTTTTTTTTCAGGCATTTCAGCCAGTGTTCCCATACATATTTTAACTTCATGGTATCTCTAGTTTAGTTGCATTGTGACCAGAAAACATACTTGATGGCCCAGTTTATGGTCAACCGTTTTGAATGTTCTATATTTTAAAAAATAACCTTCTTCAAAGGCAATGCTCTAAAAATGCCTTCTAGACCATTAGTTGTGTTGTTGGAACTTTTTTTTCCTCTTTAGACTGCTCATTGTATCAGTTCCTAAGATGCATGTGAAAATTCCACACTTTCTATCTTCCTCTTTGTAGTTTTTTTTTGGTTGAAAGATTTTGGGACTACTTAGTAAATACACACAAAACCATAAAAGCTATTGCTCTCCTGGTGAACCACTTTATACCTTAAAACTATTTTTTTTGCACTGGGAATCAAACCTTGCATTTGCCAGGCAGTGCTTATGCCGCTGAGCTGGATCTCTGGCCCCTTGAAACTTATTTTAGTATTAACAAAGCTGCACACATTATTTTGGATTATTATTTGCATAAAACATCAATTTTTATCCTTTTCAATTGTTCTGTGCCTTTATGGTTTAGGTTTATCTATTGGAAACAGTATGCACAGTTACTGCTTTTAAAATATCGAATAGTTAATTAACATTTAGTATAACTGTAATTATTGACACCTTTGGCTTTAAATCCTCCATTCATCATGTGCTTGCTATCTGTCTTGCTTAAACTAATTTCCCTTGTATTTATTTTGGTTAAATTTCTGAAGGTATCCTATTTCTCCCTCTATTATTTGGAAATTATATACATTTGGCATTTTCTTAATGTATCTTTCAATGAGCAGTATTTTTAACTTTTGTGAGGGGCAATTTATCAGTTCTTTCCTCATAACTCTGCTTCTTATGTCTTTTCTAAAAACATACTAACACTTTTATATAGATATTTTCCACCCTAAACCAACTGGTGGTTATCTGTGCTTTCCAAAGCACAAAGTAATGAAGAAATAAGCAGTTACACCATTTTCAGAGTGGTCTTTGGCTCAATATGGCTGCCAGGAATGTATCATCAGAAATAAAGAAAGTCTTATAGAGTTTATTATCTAAACAGACAGAGATGATAAATATAACACAGGAAAAAGCAAGAAAGGCTTTAAGAACAGGTTTACAGGCTCTATACTCTTTTAACAACAGAAAGCAGGCTGAGATGTCACTAGAGACATATCAGAGATCCAGAAATATCAGCGAGTCAAACAAGCTGGCTATTACACTATTACATGAAATAGGTTAAAAGACCCATACATGAGGTGGTTTCATTTACTTTTATGACTTACCCAGTAATTAAGAAACAAGTTATTAATCCCACACCTAAGGTAGAATACAGAAACGTAAGAAAAACCAAAATGACACTTTATTAATGTTTAATGGAGTGACATAATAAATTATACATGTTGAATACAACACTATGAAATAAACTGAATGCCCGAACAGACTCCCAGTACATACTGTTTATTCAAACTCGGAAGGCAATAAAAGAAAATAATGTTATAAAAAGGATTAACCAACGTGCTAGCCATGGTGGCTCACGCCTGTAATCCCAGCACTCGGGAGGCCGAGGCAGAAGGATGGCCTTGAGTTTGAGGCCAGCGTGGGACACGTAGTAAATCCAAGGCCAACCTGAACTACACAGGGAGACCTTGTCTCATAAAGAAAAAAAAAGTGGACTAATGTGAATGATGATAAATACAACTTTAAACTAGAATTTAAAAAGAAATTAAAGGCTTAATAGTGCAGATGTATATGGTGTTTGTATTACATACAAATAAAACACATTAATGTGAAATTAGTGTTCTAAGCCTATTGAAAAGTATTGAATGCATCTTCCTTAAATAATTAAAGTTGAAAAAATTTACTTACCCAAGCTCTGTCATGCCATCTACAAACTCTTTTTTGCTAAATTCACACTGAGTGGCAGCCCTGAACTTCCATGCTATGACCAGAACACTGATACTGGCAGGATCTAGGCTTAAATCATCACAAAACTGCTGAATCCCATCAATTCCAATTTTGTTTTCATCTTGTGGATCTGTAGTTAAAATTAGGGAGAAAAAAGTTATAGTACTTTGACAAGTAATCCTAAAATTGGGTGATTAGGATCTTATTACATAGCTCTAGCTAGAATGTTTCAGATACATTAATCAAAGGACTATAGTTTCCTACATAAGAAATAGTGAGCAACAAATAACCCATAAAACAGTCCCATTTTTAAACCTAGGTTTCTGGGTTTTAACGACTTCATCCTTACGAAATGATTTTACTGGGTGAGATAGCACATGCTTGTCATCCAAGCTACTCCAGAAGCTGAGGTACGAGGATTACAAACAAATTCATGGCCATCCTGGGCAACTTAATGAGACTTCATCTCAAAATAAAAGTTTAAAAAGGGCTGAGTTCAACTCCCAGAAATAGAAAAAGTAAATCATGGCTAGTCTCCTGCCTCAGCTTCCCAAGCACTGGGATTACAGGTATGTGCCACCATCCCTAGATGAAAGCTGACTTACACAATGCTGTATTTTTAAATATGCTAAACCTTTAAGTTGTGGGTGTTGGACATTGTGCTGCACAGATAAAAGCTGACTTACACAATGCTGTATTTTTAAATATGCTAAACCATTTTCAGTTTTCAAAAACTACAAAGTACAAATCATTTTTTAAAGCCACATAATATGCTTTAAAGAATGCAACTTTCTTTTTTGTTATCGTGTACCAGGGATTGAACTCAAGACCCCGCGCTTGCAAGGCAGGCGCTTATGCCACTGAGCTAAAGCCCCAACCCCAAGAATGCAACTTTCAAGGAAAAAGTACATAGTATTTTCAAAAGAAAGTAACAATGCAAGGTCAAAGATTCTGTTGGATCTAGGATTTGTTTAAATAAAAATTTAAGTTTTAGACAATACGACATGTGTGCGACAGGCTTCGAATGGCCCTTATGCAATTGTTCTCATGATCTTTTAGTGTTCTACAACAAATGTTTCAGCCTAAATAAGAATACAAAGAAAAAATACTGTGTTATCAAGAACTGAGACACTAGCCTCTGTCATGGTTTAGATTACAGTGATGGTGAACCTGTTAGAGCTTTCACCTGATATACACATCCCTCTGTGGCACGCATGCCATAGCTTCACCACTACTGGTTTTGAACCAAAATGTGCCCCAAAAGCTTTCTGTGTGGAGGTAGGGCCAGGCTGGAAGGGGGCAGGTAAGTGAGGGTGTGACCTGGAAGGCTGTATTTCCATTTTCAACTCTGCCCTTTTTCCTTTCTGCTTCTGACCGCCATGACATGAATTGTTTTCTTCTTTTGGGGCCTTCTACCACATAATGGTTCTGCCTCAGTGCCAGCCGACCACGGACTGACGCTGCAGACACTTGAGCCAAAACAAATTTCTCTTCCTTTTAAATTGCAGGTGTCAGGTATTTTGTTTCAATATGGAAAATAGCTAATATAGCTTCTAAATGGGGACATTTCCCTCTAACTGTTGTCAATGTGTCACACTCACCACACAGAAAAGCAGTGGTGAGGGTTAACTCCTGAGCAGTCTTCTGTACCCTTCCCTCACCCCCAGCTTCTTTACTGAAGAAATGAGGTTACGGGGCAGAACTCAAAAGCAGCAGCAGCATGGGGTGCTTTTGTCCATGCCACCAGAAGTTCTGCACACACTTGTGACATTAGCCACGACTGGCAACTTGGCTAGTTGGGTGTTGCTTAGGGAATTAGTTCTGGGTGTGTCTGGGTGGGTCAGGAAAGCATGACTCTGGGGTCCACAGCTGGTTCCTGGCTGCTATGGAGAGAAGTTTTGCCCCACACTCTTCAACCGTGACAGATCTGCATTGGAACCAGTGACAGGAGGAATGAGTTCCCTGAAATCGTGAGCCACAGTGAACCTTTCCTTTAAGTTGTGGGTGTTGGACATTGTGCTGCAGAGATAAAAGCTGACTTACACAATGCTGTCCCCTCTGGTTACAGAAACTGTGTGGTCTGGCTTTCCTGCTATACCCGCCTTACCTTTGTACCTGCCATACAGCTGCTCCAGCTTCTTCTGGTCCACAGCGTTCCGCATGGATTCCCTGTAGTACACGTCTGGATTCTGGAAGAAGCTGTCGGTGGCCTCATCTAGTTTCCACTCATTCTGTGTTAGGCAGTAGATAGCAGTTCTCTCATCGGCCTGAGTACAGGCCATAAACTGGCGGACCTTTTCCTTCTGAGATGATTTAAGCTTATGCTTTGGGATGCAAAAGAAGCGGGAAAGCCAATGAAGCGACTCCAGGGTTTGTGGCAGCCTCTATTCCTAATGCCTATATTTTAACTGGGAATAAGTGTTTTGTTGAGTGACTCCACTTCAGAATTAGAGGAAGCCAGAGCCTTGTTCTTCATCAGTTAAAAAGACTGCACAGTCTCCTGAAATTGAAACGATAGCATCTAGATAGTAAACAAATATTCAAAGTCTAATCTTCAAAGAATAATGAGAATTGGTATTTTATAGAAAACACATTTTGACCAGTTCTCTGTACACAGTGGTATTTCTTTTCCCCTTAAACATCTTAGCACAGTCTAACACAGAAGGCAGGCCTGACGTCATCAAGGGGCCACCTGCAGATCTATGGCCTCAAAGTTCACCCTATAATGACCAGCAGGAGGCTGTGCAGACTGGAAACATTATTTAAGTTTCTCTCAGTTGAAAAACAGAAGCACATTGGTGAAAACATACACACAGGACTAAACTTGAAGTGTGCCACAAGAAGGCTCAGAATGCTGGTCAGAAAATGAGAAGTGATGTACTAGTAATAAGAATGTCTGCCTGTGTGACACAGGGCAGAGGCTGTGGGTATGCAGTAAATAACAAACTGCCAAGCGACTGTACTATATATAGTCTGTAATGAAACAGAATAACATCTTAAGGTTTCCAGATACAGAATGCTTAAATTTCCAGTTCTCAAGGTAACTTGGAGAAAGCAACCCTAAAGTGACTTGCTAATTTCTGTACATCAAAATAGACTAAGCTAATTTTTTTAATATAAATATTTTACCCAATGATACCTAAGAAGAAAAGTTTTCCTAAAGAGGATTATACTCAATCTTCAGATAAGGATGAAAGTTTACAGAAACACAGAATAAACTGTAACTTACAAGCATATGGAGAAATGAAAAGGCAGGAAAGGAGAATCCAACCAGGGACAGAATTCACATAAAGATAGGCACGCGATAGACATGCGCTGAACCTGGGCTGAAAGGCAGCACTCTGAGCCTGTGAGGTACCACAGCAGAGAAGGGGTGTCCAGGTAGGAAAGTCTCTCCTAACAGGTTTAGAAACCTATTAGGGCTCAGAAGTAGGACTGCACCTCCTGGCCTGGAACCCTAGGGAAATGGCTCTACCTGCGAAAGGACACATGTGATGTCTCCTTTGTACAGACTGATTCCTTACCAAATGTCAGCAATGAACAGCTGAGCGAGTTCCAGTTTTCTCCAAGGCAACCCAATATGTGTTGCTATCAAAACTGAGCAAGAGTGAAATGACCCTGTGTAGACACACGGTATGCTAGTGTATGCTGCGGGTCTGGGTCTAAGACCTTGGGGAGGTTTCACAATGATAAAATTGTCTCAGCACTCTCCTTTCAACTGTCCCCAGCCTCTCCTGAGTTTTCAGGATATGTTTCATAAAACCATGAGCTGATGAACACAAAAGATTCAATAATAATACTTTTATGAGGTCAGACACTAAAGATACTTGTAAAAATAATAAAGTAATGGGTTTGTTATTGGTAATTCTAAATTACACATTTAAAAACTCATTTTAATTTCTGATATGGGAAATATCAATAACTATTACTTACATAAGTAAAAGTTCTTTGAGACCCCAATCATTTTTAAAAATACTTTTAGACAGTGAAATGTGGGTCTCCAGTACAGGGTGAAAGCTGCAGTCAGACACTGTGCACACAAGTGGCTGTGCCCGCAGGCCAAGACTACTGATGCAACCAGCAGCTAGCTTGTGGGCTGTAGCTTCCTGACCCTGATCTAGAGTCTAAGGTATACGAGGAATATGTACCACACACATTATTTTCTAAAAGTGAATCTGTGAAAAGGAGACAAAGAATTCAAGGTTATATTTTCTCCTAAGGCTAACTTGACCTCAGCATAGATAGCACATGCTATGATAGTAAACTGATAAACCAAAACACCAAGATCTTTTTATGAAGTTGACACTTTAATACAACAGCATAAATTCCTGCGTTAGGAATACCCATGGTATTTTGATTATATCTAATGCTATAATATTTAAAAGTTCTGTTATGGATACAAATACAATCAGTATATCCACACAACAGAATACTATTTATTCATCTATCAAAAGGAAGTAATGAAAGATGACATGTGGATAAACCTTAAAAATATGCTGAGAAATAGAAGTTGGACACAAAATGTCACAGGTTATATGATTTCATGTACAAAATATCCAGAATGGGCAAATCTGTAGAGACAGAAGGTAAATTAATGGATGCCAGGGATGGACGGGGAGGGAGGGTAGTATCCAGGGTTTGCTCTTAGTGATGAAAATGTTTTGGAATTACATGTGACAGTTGTACAGCAATGTGAATATTCCAAACACCACTGAATTATACCACTTTAATAGTTTTATGAGAATCTTACCTCAAAAAGAATTCCAATGTCTCCAAGACTAGTCAACAGAGTCACCTACCCTCAGGGGGTGACCAGTTTACCCACAGATGGCTCCACACCAAGACAATGTGGACACCTGGAGATGGGTACCTGGGTTATTATTACTCATGAAGATCACCTCTGGATGACCACCCATGTGTGATGTGACAGCTAAACCCACAGTGTAAAGTTCCTACATGGCAGATACAGGTGCATGGATCCAGACTATGCAAAGTGGTTTAGAATCATTTCTATTTAGTTACAAAGGTGTAGACATGGAGACAACCATGCAGATCCCTCTCCAATCCATTCAAATTGACTTATCTGTAAGAGGCACTCCCCAACCCTGGGCTCAAAAGAGTGCCAAGGTGCTAGCTGGGCATGAGCAATAGCAACCATGAAGGAAAAGCATGGAGCCTATCAACAAAGCTGATGTCATCTTTTACAGGTTTGTCTATAGTGATTAAAACAATAATCAACAAAAAATTAAAACAAAATAAAAAACAATAATCAACAGCTAAGTCTAAACAACACGAATGCTTCACGTCCAAAAGTGACTAAAGATGTAATCACTAGGACTTCAGTGCAAGCAGAAAAGGGAAGTGGCAAAAGACTTCATAGGAAAGAAGCTCACAAACTATAAAACTTAAAGGAAGACTGACAGGTGGTACATACCTGGAATCCTAGCACTTAGGAGCCTGAGGCAGGAGAGTTCAAGATCAGCCTGGGCCACATAGCAAGTTCAAGGCCAGACAGAACTATAGCAAAACCCTGCATTGAATCTCTTGATAAGGTAAAAAAAAAAAACCCTGCCCCCCCCCTTTAAGGAGAAAGAAGAGAACTCTGAATCAAAAATCAGACCCAAAATCCATGCAAAATTAACCAAGATCCACAAACTGGCAGTACCAGAGGTCTGCCTGTCAAGTGCCAATGGCCACCTCTGAAGCTTGTCGTATCATGGAAACTAAACAATATTAAAGGAAAGCATTGTCTATGTTTTGTTACTTGTTACAATACACAAAGTTCTTGAAATGAAAATCTGGGTGGTCTCCTGGAAACATCAAATAAAAACAGAGCAAAAACCTCAAACATTTCAACTGTGCCCTTTCAAAAAGCCTCTGATAAAATTCAGGTACCAAAGATATCTATATACTGTATGAGAATTTTTAAAGAGCTCTTAAAACGTCCTTTCAGGGACATTTAATAGAACAAGCTCCCTTCCTAGGGTCGACTTAACGAGGAGTGACAGGGCAACAATGAGAACCAAATAAACTACAGGAACCGGGGGATCACTTTGACTATTTTGGCATACAGCAGGCTCGGTGGAGCCGGGAATTAACTCAGCACGCATGGACAAAGGGGAGTTAAGTCAAATATCCCAGTTCAAGCTTTTGGATCTTTAACCTCCACACGTTTCAAGCTTTTCCGAGGTTTTTCTGTGCACCCTGCCCTAGAGCGGGGTCCCATCCCCTCCAGCTCTATCCACTTGCTCGCCAGCCCGCTCTTCCTGGGGTCATCCGCTCCCCTCCAGCTATGCTCCGGGACGAGCCAGAGTGCAGCGAGGACGGAGGTCGCCCGAGTCCCCCAACAACACAGGTCCGCGCTGACGGTGCGGGTCTTCGCTTCCAGTCCAGCTTTCGTCCCCAGCGCCAGCGCACTGCTCCCTCAGGCCCCAGCTTGGCCCCAACTCTTACAGAGGCCGCCCAGCCTCGCGGGTGTCCAAAGGGAGGACAGCACCTTCCGATTCCCACGCCCTCCGCCCGGAGCGGTCTCGCCCCCAGCTCGCCCACGCGCCTGCCGCAGCCTCAGAGCCAGGACCACCGCGCCCACCGGCTGGCTAGCGCGACGCTGTCACCTACCATACTCGTCAGCGCCTCCTCTGCTCGCGACCTGTCTGCGCAGGCGCGCGCGGCCCACCGCCCACCTCCGCGCAGGCGTCGACGACCCCAGTCCTTCGGGCCTCCGGGGCTCGGGGTATCTGTCTACGTTTGGGCTCCCGAAGCGCACCGCGCCGCCACGGCCCCTCAAGTCTGCACACGCCGCCTCTGGAAGGGACCAGGACCCCGTCTTCGAAGGCGGGCGACCGCCTGTGGCTTTCAAGCCACACACCCGCCAGGAGGGCTCCTAGATGCAGAGGGCGGTCGGTCGACCCGCAGAACTACAGCTCCCAGCATGCGCGGCGTCGCGCGGAGTCCTTCGGGATTGCCTAGCTCTCTTTAAAGAGGCCGCGTCTCTTTTCTTGGCGCGCGTCGGTGGAGACCACTCTGGGAGAGAGGGCGGTAGCCTCCCAAAACGTCCGGACCCCGCCCAGCGCCCGGCCGCGAAGGAAGGGATGCGGGGGACGTCTGCCCGCAGCGCCGATCTCCCTGGCGGGATTGCTGATGCTCAGGCCAGACGTCCTGGGTGCGGCCTCCTGCGTCCTGGTGAGTGCCGCGAGGCTGTCTCCTCGTTCCTCCTTCTCAAGGTGGTGGGTGGTGTTGGCCCCCTTTTGGACTGTCTTCTTCTGGGTCTCTTCTTGGGTGGGGGCTCCCTTTATGGATCTTTTGTCAGTTCTTACCACAGGGCTTCCCGGGATGGGGTCTCCCCTTCCTTGGGCTTCATTCAGTTCCTTGGAGCCAGCACCCCCGTTTCTGCTCCTGTCTGGAGTCTGGTTTGATCTGTGCCTTGCCCTGTGCTGTGTTAATGCACATTATCCTGGCATCATTCACAATCTCTTTAAGGACGAATACAGTAAGCCTTTAAGCCCGATGCGCTGTGTCCGGCAACACCTTTTTTAAGTTGAGAGTCTGGAAGATGTCAGAGAAAAACCGGCGGGTAACGAGTCGGTCTGCAGATTTCCTGGGGGAGGGCATTCCTTCTTAACTTTTTGGCGTGGGCTCTTGTGTGAGTAAGCAGTCAAATAAGTGAAGGCGACCGGGAAGATTTGCTGCTGCTCCGGGGCTTCAGCTAACCCTTGGGAAGGAGAAAGGGAGGCAGGACTGGGTAGATAGGGTGCAGCCAGCTCCACCGTGTGGATTTGCTCACTGCTCCCTACTGCAGGAATAGTTACTGCAGCTGAAAGGGCTTTTTGTTCACCAGTCCCCTTTGATTCTTCCTCGATGGCTTTCCTGGCTGTAACACAACCGGCTGACTGGCAGTGCTTCCTCTAGGCCCTGCTGCTCTGTCTCTGCGTCTCACCCGGCAGTGCCTGGACTAGTGCTGTGTGAACCCTTGCGCAGGAGACATAGCTCACAGGTCGGGAACCCTTCCACTCTGTGACTTGGCCTCTGCGTTGGTGTCTTTCTGGTCATTCTTTGGATCAGAACACCTTTGTAATCCATTGCCAGTTTTCTAAAAGTAGTCTTAGTCATTGAATTAACTAGTGAAACACTTGCTTTTTCTAGAAGTTTAATTTAAATATTGTAAAGTTTTTTAATGACCTAAGAATTTTTTTCCTTTTTGTTAGTTCTTTGTTGTTTTACTGATTAGATATGGTACTATATTTATGAATCGTGTACTTCATTTTTGGCAACTGTCATTTGTATTTATGGGATCATCATAAGTGATCTCATCTTAAAGAAATATACTTGAGACTTTAAAATAGGCCTTAAAGTTAAGTCTTCCCAATTGTGTTGATCTTGTCCTTTTTTTTGGCAACAGGCGCTTGCTCTGCAGATCAGGCTTGGCCTTGAACTCACTGTGGAACCCAGGCTGGCCTTGAACTCATAGAGATTCTCCTGCCTCAGTTTCCCAAGTGCTAGTGTGCACCATCATGCCTAGCAATCTCATCTTTTTTGTCAGTTGTCTGGTGCTGAACTTGAAAGTGTTGGTAGTATCATTAAAAATAACTCTAATCTTAAGTCACTTACTTGAAATAATCCTCATATTTCCCTGTTTTCAGGGAAACTAAATAACTGTACAGACATCAGACTTATGAGTCATGTTACTGCCACACCCACCCTTGCTCCAGGAACTTTCCTGCCCACAGTCAAGGCTGGTTGCCTCGGTCAGTACGTGGCCATCCCTTTCCCGGTGTGTGTGTGTGTACACACCAGGGCTCAGGCTCAGCTGCATGAAAAGGGCGGAGCCCTGGATGAGGCTGTCCTCAGGGCTGGGATGCAGCGTGGCACAGTGGGAGAGGGAGTCACCATATGGAGACCTTTCTGTTACCTTCACCGTGATCCTGGCATCTACTGTCTTCAAGAAGCAGCTGAGTCAGATTTGTCCTTAGCAATTTGGTCTAGTGAGTATTGAGGCAGTGGCTCTAGCGGGTCAGAAGGAAAAGAGTGTGGCAGGTTCTGTGACTACAGGAAACAGAGCGTGAGGTTCCTGACTCCTGGTCTGAGGGTATATGGATGATTCCAAGTTCCTAACCTGGAAGGGAAAATAGAGATGTATGCTGCTTTGGCCGCCTGTTCCCCTAAGGGACTGACACACCCTTAGGGCTTGGAACTCTGGTGGGCTGTGTTCTGTGGGAGGTGCCCAGAGTATTAGCTGGGGCCTCTGATCTTGACGGCTCTGCTCTCTTAGAGATTTTTATGCAATAAATGCTATGCATCATTTCTAAATTAATAGCATAATAGAGTAAGAGTAATGTGATTTTGATGTAAGATGATTTTGAAGGAGGCTTAATGGTGAACCCATGTTTTTTTTATTCTGATTTCTGATGTGAAGCATTTATTACAAGTGTTTTTCTTTTTAATCAAATATTCAGCTTTAAAATACTTCGTGATTCTTGTGCGCTGTGTTGATTTTGCTGTTCCTCTAAATGAAAACTAGTCTTGAATTTGTAGCAGCAGACTTCTATATTAAGTAAAATATAAAAATGGTAGGACTACCTTTATAAAGATTGCATGTGAAAAGTTACAGATTCACATACAGTTGTGAGAAGTACTGCAGAGAAATCAGGTGGTGAATGCTTTTCCCTGCTTTTTGCAGGGGTAGCATCTTGCAAGTCTGGCTATCAGCAGGGGCTTGCTACTGGGATAAGCCATGGGTCTGCTTGGACCTCACCACTCTGTATGAGTCCTGGTGGGTGGACGTAAGCACTGTCCATTACATTTCCATCCTAGGTGTTTCTGCCTCAGGACCCTTCTTCCTCCACTTCACAACCACCTCCTTCCCTTCCCTAACTGTGCTTCGTCTCTGTCATATGGCATGTGGGTGTGTTGTGTGGTATTAGGGTACTAGAGATTGTACCCATGGCCTTCACACTGACCTACATTCCTAGCCCTTTTTTAAAATTTTAAGATAGGATCTCACTAAGTTGCCCAGGCTGGGCTTGAACTTATCATCCTCCTGCCTCAGCCCTCTAGAATCCTGGGATTATAGGAATGCATACCCAGTTGTGTTGTCTCTTTGAAACTGTTACATGAGTGCAGTCATATAGTACATGACCTTGAGAATTTGGGCTCAGCCTGAGTCTGTCTCTGTTGCTGCTTGGGTCAGTATTGTAGCTCAGAGAAATCCAGAGTGTCTTAGTAGCTAACAATAATAACACAATAGCAACAAAGCTAAAATATTTACTCTTTTTTTTCTTGTGTTTTTGAGACAGTGTCTTGCTATGCAGTACTGACTGGCCTTGAACACACTTTGTAAGCCAGGCTGGCCTCTGACTCACAGTGATCTTCCTGCCTCAGTCTCCCGAGTGCTAGGATTACAGGTGTGCACCACACCTAGCTATTTACTCATTTTTACTGAAATTGACTAGTGTGGAGGTTTTTGGGGGCAGGTTTGAAGGGGAAATGAAATGAGCTTGTGAAAGAGTGGTTCATGTTTTAAGGGTATGTAAATGATTCCAAGGTCATGTTTTACGTTCCAGTGGAAAGTATCAGTGTAACTACAGCTAAATCCTCAGCTGTAGTCTCTCCTCATGAAAATCAGTAGCCCTTTAGGTGCAGCCCAGAAGGGACCATGAATTTCAGGAACCTGGTTGAGGAAAAAACCAGAAGTGAGCGCAGAGAGGTATCATTCACACCACAAACTGTTGCAAGTGTTTTTTCCAAAGTGTAAAATCCATAGAAAAATCACTTTTGGAGACCTTGTAGGAAAATGGGAAGCACTGAGGAATCACCTCTAGTTTCCATCTTGGTTCTGGAAGAAGTTGAAAGTGCACTTCTCAAGTAGGGGTGTTCTGCTAGGGAACAGAGAGGCCGAGCAGCTGGTTGGGTGCTGCCATGTTGCCTGCTGTGTGGTGGATGCAAAGTTTGATTTTCAGGTGGTATATACTACTCCATAGTGATGGGAGCAGTGTGTCCTCCTGATCCGGAGGCGAGCAGGGTGGAGTGCTTACATTCTCCTTGTAGTATTAGTGTAGCCCTTTTGGAGCCATGCTACGAAAAATACATTGAAATCCAACCTCTTTTTTGTCTTTTTTGTTTTATTTTTAGGTAGGGTGTTGCTAAGGTGTTTAGGCTGGCCTTGAGATTGCTATCTTTCTGTCTAAGCCTAAGCCTCCTGAATAGCTGACATTACAGCTATAGGCTACCCTGCTTGGTCTTAACACTTTTGCTGTTTTTTGTTTTCAGACAGAGTCTTGCTATGTAGTCCAGGCTGGCCTTGAACTTGTGGATCCTCCTGCCTCTGCATCCTGACTTCTGGGATGAAGGTGTGTGCCACTATGCCTAGCATCAACACTTTTTCTTTTTTTTTTTTTTTTAACTAAGTATCATCTTTTCTTGGTGACTTTTGGTTGTCATTCTGAACATCACTGACCTTCCTGTTGTCTAATATGGTGTCACTTCAGGCTCTGATGAAGCATACACAGCAACATAATCCCTATTATATAATCTGACTTCAAGACTTTGGAATTCTTAAGTCCACTTTCCTAAGGCTGGTACCTGTCACAGCTTGTTGTGGTCAGAATGTGATCTCT